ATACAAAAATAAGATTATTTCTTAATTTTTTTTCATTGGGCAAAATTGGAATGCTTTCTACAGTTCAGATCTTGCATTAACATTTTATACCAGATTGTTTGAAACCAGAGACTGATGCAGTTCATGCATTTATCACTTCTGTAAAAAACAAAAACAAAAGGAAAATAATTTAGTGATGATGCTGTGGACATGAAATGTCAACAATTTTGCCAACTCTTGCTGTTATTATGATGATCATAGTCTATCTGGCAAATGGTACTTTTTTGCAACTAACCACAGGAAAAATCCCTGTCATGGTATAGGTGACACTGTTAAAAGACTGGTAGCAAGAGAAAGCCTTTAGGTCATTATTATTAATAAATAGATTCTTATATCATATGTCACTTTATAGCTGGGGAAAAAGAAAAAAATACATCATATATTGAATTTATGATGCAAGATCAAGTACAATAAAATTCTATTAAATTTAGATTGAATGGTTTGAAGCCTATAAGATAACAGCTGGTGTAAAGTTACAAAAGTTTCATTTCTCATCTAGGAAATGTTCTTGAAATTAGAAAGGTTTCTTTTGATGTGTACACTATTGTACATTGTGATCATTTGAGAATATCTATCAATCCTCTGATCAAGTTCTAACAGCTCAGTGGGGGTAAAACTGGCAGGTCACATTCAATGCCTTGAAAACCAAACTAGTAGCATTACATCATCACTGATCAGACCCAGAACTCAACAATTGCAATAAACAGATGTTTCTTCAGGGAGGCCCCATGCATTGAATGCCTATTGAGACTTACACTTGGGGTCTGGGTTGAGTTTAACTCATGCATATGATCCATCACTAGAGATGCTGGAAAAATGGTAGATTCCTTGTACCACTCCAGTAAATATCTGACTCTTCCTATCCTTTAATTTTATAAGAACCAGATAAGGTTCCCTTTGTATTCTCAAGCAGCTTTTTGCCATGAATTGCTGCACTGTGGAACAGACTCCCAAGAGAATGCTTCCTTGATCATTACAATTTTAACCTGTTCAATTCTAGCCATAACCATTATTTTTTCCCACATAACCGCATAAACTGTGTCTCTTACTCTGATCTGTAACCCTCGACGTTGAGTGGCTCCTGGAATTTATACAGGGTGAGCATCATTGTAAGTAAAAAAATGATTGTAAAATAGGAAGTGTATCAACTAGACAAACATGTAAGATGTATTCATAATATCAACTGGTATGCAGGAAATATTCAGTTAAGAATTCTCATGTTCATGTTGCCTTCATGAGAAGACACACACACAAAAAAAAAGAAGCTGTCTTAGCCTGCAAAGACCCAAAGACAAATACTCAGTACCATTACATGTATGTCATCAGTGCACCTAATACTCAAGGTAGTCAATGCTTGCACCTAAACAATTAGTTCCTGTGACTTGAACACTCTTCCTAAAATCTGTGCAAAATAATTCTTGCCAAGTACGTTTTTGTAATATATGTCAAACAAGTCATTGTTATAATGATGTTCCAAAGTCTTTCAAAATGATAAACTATAGAATGAAGGTAATACTAATTTCATTGTAATAATGGCTTGTCTGTCCAAGAGGATTTTGGAAAACACTATGCCATCATGGATATCACTTGGCAAGATCATGCTCCATATTGGAAGTCTACCACTTCGTCACCAGCCCCTCAACCTCCGGCGTCTTCCTCTTTGGGTTGAGGTGTCCACTCGGTCTGAACCGAACTTAGGGTTAACTGCCCATACGCTCCCTGAGTACCCGTAGATTATTTCAACTGGTCAACTGGTCAAAGTCCTGCTTGCTGCCCACGCTGTGTTAGTTTTTAGATCCAGTATGCGGGGTGTTGTCCATATGTTCACGGTCGACTGGGGATGTGGACACGGCTGTGAGAGTTGGCGGTAGGAAGTTTAGAATGTGGCAAAATAAAACAAGAAATAATACCTGCCAAAGCCAGACAACAATGGGGGAAATATTGACGTCTTTTATATAAGAAGATAACATCAGAACAGAGGTTACAGGGAGAATAAAAACATTTAACATAAATGAGAAAAGAAAAAGACAAAATGCATCCAGTAAATTCCCAACAGAGAGAGGGTTTGTGTGTGATAAATGCGTATTGAATCGCCTGGGGTAGGTTTATGACTAATAGTCCAGTCACATACAGACTTCCCAGAACAGGGGTTAGTCTTCTCTCTCTCCTACAAAATTCTCCCGCAAATCTCTCGACTCACTGCGATGCTAGTCTTGTGACTCTCTCGACTACAGTCTCTTTCCCCAACTCTTTGCCTTATTAGCAAAATCTTGAGTTAATATAGAAAAAGGATCAGCTGATCACAATTGATCCTCAGCCCGGCACACAGGTACCACGAGTGCCAAAAACTATTCCTTGACATATAAACAGATTCTCCAATTATTTACCTTATCTCAATCACGAGTTCTTCTCACTTCACCAAAATTATACTTTGGGATATCTAAACATTGATTCAACCTTTTAATCAAAACAAATACTGTTAAACAAAACCAAGTATCTTGCCCATCCCCATTGTTTACTAGTGACTCAGGTTTAAAACATCACCTCCTGCACTGAGATTGTGTTTCTCATCGGTAAACACACATCTTAACCCAAATTGTACTTTGATATATAAACACCATTTCCACTTCCAGTCAATAAAAGTTATATTTGTGTGTGTGCATTCATGTGGGTGTGTGTATGTGTATACCTCTCTCTGTTACAGAAGCAAGAATACAGTTTCTCTTACTTTCCCAAAAATGTTTGTATTAGCTAATGTTAACCAAATGCAAGATGGACATATACTTAAGGATATGCTGTATGTAGAATTTGCTGCTGTCTCCAGACCTGCAGGATAACTAGTCCTTCATTAAAGACATTTTCAAACATGAAGGTAGGCAACATCAACCTGGGAAATTGATGCAGCAGCTGGAGGCTTGCTGCCAAAGCTGGCATTCAGATGAGTGAACAGGAAAGAGGACCAGTGGTGAAGAGTGGGCAGCACCAATAGGAAGAAATGTGGCTTTCTGATGCAGCAATTGCAAGAGTTTGCTGTTCCAAGATCAGGCTGTACTGCCACGGTAGATACTGCAACCACAAACTAGACCAACTAGTGCATGCATCATTGTCTTATAAGACAGAAGGATGTCAATATAGTGAAATATTCCTTTGTCACTATGAAAGTATTTACAACTGGAAGTCTGAATACTATCCAAGCATTGTTGTCCTAAAAAGAAAACCTTGCTTGGATTAGGTGATACTTTGTACAGTTTTTGACAATTAACTAACATGAAAAAGAAATTATTTTCAGTATGTTGGATTGATTTATTTGAAGCAGTTTTTTCAATTGTCTATATTACTTTTCATGTTTAGCATGTAAAATTTGGGGTTTTTATACTAATGGATTTTATATTTTATCAATAGAAGGTTTTTAATGCTTTGAAAGTGTTTTTTCCCTATTATAATATGAAAAAGAGCCAGTCTTTTTCATATGAGAGTATAACTGAACAAGACTAAAGAATGAATCAGACAAATAACAGCAAAAAGAATGAGCTCAAATGTCTAAAAGGAAAAAAATTGATTTCTTAAGTCCTCGTTTGATTCCAGGACTGTTTTTTTTTTGTTAGAAATCCTGGATCAATTTCTTAAAAAGAAAAAGTTTCAAGCAACAAAAATATTTTTGCAGATTAAAAAAATTAATGAAACAAAAATAACAGTTTCAGTTCATAATATATTTTATTCAAATACATAAAACAAATTTGCTAACATTTATTTTTTGGTTTAATAATTTTTATTTGCATGTGAAAGCTTGAATAGAAGCCAGTAGAGAAGTTAAATTGAACAATTCCCTTTATTTTAGTATTAATATCCTTTTAACTGCCAACTAACATTATCAGTGTCAGTTTAAAGTTAACAGAATTTGTAATAACTGAGTATTTAGGAAATTAAATTACTCAGAAAATGATATCCTCATCTATACATTGTTTTTTTCTTCTGTTGAACAGATGGACAGGTTTACCATGCAGAGAACAGACCATTTGATATATCACTACCTGTCCAAGATTTTTCCTTTATATAAATGAGATGTGATAAGAGCTGTTAATACAGCCACTAAATGTACAACTGAACTATGTTCAGCAGATATACCAATCAAAACAACAAAGAATTCAATTAATCTTGTGTCCTTAATATGATGATTATTTTCTAAATATTCAGTTTGATATCCATCATTAATGAAATATTACAGATAAATTACAACTTAAATAACAAGTTTATTTAAAAACATACCACAAAAATTTAAATATTTTTTAATATTGGAAGATTAAAATTTATACATGTTCAAATGAAAAAAATGCTTTATAATTTTACTTCTTGAAGTACTTTATAATTTGTTGTCATGTTTGACTTTGTTAAATTATCCCCCCAAAATCAGAAATAAAAATAACATAATATATTGAGTTTTTTTTTTTTTTAGCAGAAATGAATAAGTTCAAATTTTTCCTGATGATATGAGCACAAAGCAAATTTAAACATTGTTGATGTCAAATGGATAAAGAATGAAATTTTCTCAAGCAAAAATATTGTTTATTACTAAACATTTTATGCAATTAAAGACTATTCATTTGAACTTAGATCTTTATTTACTTCATTAAGTTCTTAATGTATTAAACATTTAAATTTAAGAAACAGAAAAAATCCTTGCTTTAATTTCTAGTTTTGAGAGAATGCTTTTTATAAAATTAATTCTTAGGATTCTCTCAAATTGAAACTCAAATTGGATTAATAACCATGAAGAACCTCTTTTATACATAAATAATGTTATAATCTTAAAGATATATTCTACACCAAAATGCAATAGTACTTTTGTAAATTAGCAAGCTTTTTGCAAATATTGTGATGAATTAGAAGCAAATTGTGTAATTGCAGATTACATAAGACACCAACATGAGTAATATATTTGAGTAGGGTTCAAGAATGAGGGTTCATTTCTTCAAAGCTTTTATTCTTTCTTCAAGACTATCACAGTTATTCTTGATAGCTTTAGTATTCAGCTTGAAAGATTCATCCAACTGTAACAAAGAAAAAGGAAAATCATTTCATCATTGCATTTGATTATAAAATGTGCAGTAATAGATTGAGCTTTTTTTAAATTGAAACAAAGACTTAGGGAATTAGGCCAGTTCTTTAGGAAATGTTTTTTCAGTTCACATATGAAGACTTTTTTCTGGATCATGAAACATAAAACCAATTAAATACAAAAAACAAATAATGTCAATAGATGCTTTGATTGATTATTTTTTTTACAGCTTTAAGTTTTTGGATATAATGATTTACTTATACAAATCCTACAAGTCAAAAGCTGGGGAGTACTTGAGAAGAGGTGGATTCATACCTTTCTCAAGGGTATTTGCACATAAGTTAATATAATGAACCCAACTGGAATTGAAATTTGACTACACCACCAGCACATCCAAGCTTACAGCACCTGGTATTCTCAAGTGGTCACCCATCAAGGTACAGACCAAGCTTTTGATTGTACAAGTACCAATGTTTCAGTGTGATATGTCTATAAGCTCTAAAAAGATGTTTATAAATTTTAATGGTTGCAGGTTGTGCCTATCAATTGTCAGTACAAATAAAATATGGTATTTAATAAGAGATTAATATGTACATATTTTTAATTCATAGAACCACAGCTGGTCAGAATGTAAATGAATAGTGAAAGATAAGAGGATTTTCAATTTTAGTGATTGATAAAATCAACTTGATTTGAAAATTGGAATCTCAAATTCAAATGATATATCTAATGCAATATGAGAGTATCCAATTCTTTACTGGGAGATTTGAAAGATTTGTTTAAAATCTGTTCAATGATTCTGAAAACAAAAATGATAGGTACATGCAGTCATTGTTAGTCATATTACATCTTCTGGATGAACATTCACAAATTGGTTATAAGAGGAAGATTCAAGCATATTAGCAGAAAATTGGAGAATTCAGGATAAAAGAAAATAAAAAAACAAATGTTTTTTAAATAAAAATATTCATCATCCTTACAAAATTAAATATGTTTTTTTATATTTATAAAATACTAACAAAGAAAAAAAGAAGTGGAGAATCTTGTTGAGAAAAAAAGAACATTCTAATGGAACTAACATAGCATAAATGTTAAAAACTAAAAACATTTATTAATCATAAAAATTCAAAATGAGTGAGAGAAATTTTTTTACCTGCTTCATCATGTCATCATGTGAAGTCAATGTTTTCCTGATTTCTTGTTGAGCTGTGTCCAAATATGCAAGAGCTTGACTAAATTGAAGTGCTGCAAAAATAAGATATTTTTCCAATTAAGCATTTAAATAAAATTACTTCCCTTCCTAGATTTGTATTTTTTTTTTAAATGTGTGAAAAAACAATGCTAGATTCTACGGCTAGACTCTGGAGAATGTAGAAGATAATATATTGTTATGATAGGTATTCTCTCTGACAGATGTAACCTCGTCAAGAGAAGAGAACTCTCCCTTGGTATAGTAATACTGCCTTTTAACAGTATCTAATTTACATATTACACCTGCCTGAATCTTTTATACCTCAATGTGGATGGGCTTTGTCTTCTGCCTGCATGCAGAATAACTTAGGAATAGTCTAGTATAACTCTCTATATCACAATCCATTGAAGAGAATGTTTTTAATCTCATTTTTACTGTTTGAACCATTTTCTCTGCAATTTCATTTGACTGTGAGTGATGTTTTGTATGGAATGCAACCAATATGTTTTAACCATGCACATAAACTTTCTTCACAAAACTCAGGTGCATTGTCAGAGACCAAGGTTTTTGGAACTCCATTTCTCAAAAACACTATCCTCAACACTCGCTTCACAGTAGTGGCTTTTCTAACTGCGACTTTAATAACTTCAAGCCAACCTGAATACGAGTCAACTAATATCAGAAATAGTCCTATACCTTTAATCCATATGTACTCGTGTTCACAGTTCCATTTCCTTTGGCCAAGAGTGAATTTTAGTTTTCCTAATTTTCTTTATTTCTGCACACTTTGGACATTTTAACATACTCTTCCATGTCTTACAAATAGCCTGGCCACCATACTTGCAACTTTAATCTCATTTGTGAAGCCAATATACCTCCATGTATATCATCATGCATGGCTTTAATTACTTCTTTTCTCAGAGACTGTGGATGTACTATATTTCCATTACATATAATTCCTTTTTTTATTATTGTGCCTTGACTCTTTATAAGGCCTCTCAGTCATAGAACAATAACTCAATATATTTCTCTTTATTCTTTCCATAATTCTATTCAACACTAGATTCTGCAGAGTTCCTAACCTAAGGTGATTTAAGGGTAATACATGCGTTTCTATCCAGTGCAAAATATTATCCTCACAATTTTCACTTGCGTCAACATTTTTGCTCTAAAACTTTAACTGAAATAATGCATCCACATGCAGAATTATATTTCCTTTAATATATATGATGTCAAAGTTGAACGCCATAAGCTTAATTGTCCATCTTAATATCTTGGCAGATGTGACCTTTGGCAACTCTCTTCTGGGGTCGAATTTAAATTCCAAAGGCTTATAATCAGATTTTAATAGAAATTTCCTTCCCAGAAAAAATTTCTAGCTCTTTCCATGCTCTACACAATTGCCAATGCCTTGAGTGGTTCTCAAGTCTAGTACTGAATGAACTTTAGTATTAAAAAATATTTTTCTGGATCGTTCAGAGATAATGAATGATAATAGTATTTAAGATATCAATATAAGAAAATATTTTTTGCTATTTTAAGAAATATTTTGAAAAAAATGCAAATGTGTGAATATAATATTTTTATTTTATGTAAGTCAACATTATTTAGAAGCAAAGTAAATAAAGAAGTGAAAGGTTTATTAGCAGAAAAAAAGATGTAAATGACACGCAAAGCTTAAACTGGTTTTTAAGATAATCTCTACACAGCTGTCAATTATAAACCTATTGCAAGGTTTCAAACTAAAATGTTTTTTTACTTATTCTGAACAAAAAGTGTACTTTTGTATACCAACTTTCATTTCTTTTAATATATCAAAATTATTAACAAATTATCAGAAATGCCTACTTTATGTTGGAAAAAATTTTACATTTGGAATTTTAGTCTTTTTCTAAATAAACAATTAGTAAAAAGTTGATAAAAATACTAAATAATTTTGTCACTTAATAAAAATAATACAAATTGAAATATTGTTTTGGAAACTATGACCTTAGAGCCAAAAATTTAAATAGTGAAATATTTTTTAAATTTAGTTTCTTGTGAAAAAATGTTATGAATATTGCAGTTTAATTCTGAATAAAATTTTCAAAAGTAAATTCTTAATAATTATCAAAGTTGATATGTTAAACAAAAATGATAGGATTCATTATTTACTTCTTAATAAAGATTTCAATCTCACTATTAAAAGTTTTAGTATGAAAACATTTAGTGATATCATTTTATATTCATTAATTACAACATGAAACAATTTAAGAAGCCTAAATTTTTATATATATAAAAAAATTAACAAAATATAAGTGAAAAAATTTATTAAAGTGTTTTTGCTAGCATAACACATTTCAGGTGGACAAAATTTTTTTACTAACCTTGTTCATGAATATCTTTCAGAGTGGTTAACCGATCCACAATTTGGGGTAAAACATCAGACATACTTTCCCATTTCTTGACAATTTCATATAATTCAAACACCTAAAAAGAAATTATTTGATCTTACATAAAAGCTAAATAACTATTGTTCAGTCTATCAAAATGACAAGAGTTGTACAAAGAAAAAGATCTGATCAAATTATTACATATTAATGTTAAATATATATTAAATATACATTTTTTAGTTAATTTGCAGAATTTGGTGTAAAGAGTTTTTTCCAAATTATACATTTACCTAATGTAAAATCCTAATCATAACTCATCAGGTGATAAGATGTTCAAGACAAATACTTTGACATTTGTGCCTTATAATGTAGTTATTACAGCTATGAGTACAATGATAATAAAACCAATCCATTTATAATATTAAAAGCAGTTTTATCTCAAAACAAAAGTATATGCAATAACAATAGAAAGAAAAATATTAAAATGTTATAGTTACAAAGAAACTTAAAAAGAAATGCATTTAAAATAAATTGTGGCAGTTAAAGTAAATTCTGTAATAAGAAACCTGTCCTTTCAAGATACAAATAGTATAAAAAAATATATTTTAAAAAGTAATTTGTTTTAATTTGTGTTTACAATGCAAATGCTATTTTCCTTAACAAAAATGATCAAAAAAGACATTTGATAAAAGCATTACAAAAATTGCACTTTTTGAATATCCAAAAATTAAGACATGTAAATCCAAAGTTACAATAAACAGTTATTTGTAGCTGTCATTAATAATACTGACAAAGAAAAAAAAAATTATTTTACTGACCTTAGCTTGTTTCTCTGAACTATCATCAGTGGCTTTTTTCTCACTAATCTGGTTCACTTTTTGCAGAACATGATGCAATCTGCCCTCGACTTGATCAATATGGGCAGGAACTAACAGGGACAGCTTAGAGTTTATGGAAGCAACAGCATTCTAGAAAGAGAAGCAGTTAACAAAATAGACAGAAAAAATTGCATTAAAAAATTTATAAAATGTATTTTTCAAGTCATAAATAAAAGTACAGAACTATTAGTTTGTTACATATATATTTTTTTTCTTCATGTTCTGCAAATTTTCTCGAGAAATAATGTTTTATAGCATTTTTTACTTCTTAGTAACTCTAGTCAACCTTTGAAACTGTTGTCTAATGTTATTGAAATTTTATTTCAGATTAGACACCCCTTTGAGATGGAGTGCCAAATAGACAAGAATGAGTATGAGCATGATCTTCTCTTTGCTTTTAACCAAAGCTGCCAAAGCTGCTTGAGACATCTGTGCTGTGTATGGAGATGACTTCATTATCAATAGAATGATATGAAATACTTCAAAACAACCAGTCAATGCTAAGTTATATGTTAAACAAATAAACAGGCTCAAATAGGCAATTCAGCTGAAATGAGCTGACCAGTGATACAGTGTGATTCTTCAACATGACAATGCTTGCCCTTACATTGCTAACATAACCAACATGCAATTAAAGAGAAAGCAAGTTCTGTTGCCTCCACATACCCCTTCCAACTATCACCTTTTCCAGTTGCTTAAGGGGTATTTTATAAACAATAATGTGGAGTTTGAGACAGCTTGATGAATTTTTTGAGTCAAAATCTAGTGATTTCTATTGTCAAGTTGAACAGTTAATGAATCATTGAAAGGAGGTTGTAAATAATGAAGGGGAATACATTGTTGAATGATTCATCAGAACTATTGATAAATAATAAGTATTAAAATAAATTATAAAAACCAAACAAATTTATGTAACAAGATAATATAAGTCAATGGTTTTGTTGCATAACCAATTATATTTTTTTTTACAAAATGTTAATATTTTTACCTGTGTCTGTTCATTTTTAAAATATCTGGAACTTTAAATTAGATGTTTACAAAAGTCTTTAACCAAAGTGGTTTCATTTTTTTTTAGTCTGTTGAATAAATAGATACAAATGAGTGAACACATACTCTCTCTAGAGAATATGTTCAAAATTCTTCATTTGGCTGGTCAAGTATTTATATTCTTAGTGAATCCAAAAATCACTAAGAACAATATTAAAGTAATCATATGTTGTTTGTCCCAGATTAACAAATTATGCACTTAAAGGTTTAAGCTAAACTTTTAGCTAAATGAAATCCCATTAGAGGGCAAGTGAGACAAATAGACACTTACCAAAAGACTTTTGTTGCTGAGCTCAGCTGTAAGAACATTCTGGAAATTAAAACATATGAATGAAGAAACAACAAACTTTATATTTTGACAAGACATTGAAATTTTATTTCTAGAATTTTTAGTCTTCACAGAATTTTTATATAAGATAAATTTAAAAACTAATATCCCAGACATGTTTACAAATTTTTCTAAATTAATCTTCTTGTCTTTGATGCAATCAGTTTATCATCATTGTGAAATAAAATGTTTCTAATTAAAAAGTGTACATACACTAGAATATTATTTTTTGTTATAACCATATCCCCGAGTATCATTTTATAGAAAAGCCTAAAGTATGATAAGCATTTCACAGAGAGAACAATTGAATCTTTGTATCAAGAGTGACAACAAAGAAAAAAAGTTTTTATACAAGAACATATTTATATATACCAAGTCAATATGGAATAACATAAAAATGTGAGAAAGAAAAGGTTTGTGGCAGATTGAAAATTTATTGAGTGCATTAACGGTAAAAGTTTTCCATAAAGAAAATTTAAATCTGTAAATAAAATTTAAGATGTAATTCTAGAGCTTATAATCTTCAAAACAAGAAAAATTTCAATTTAGAATTAATATTTAGAAACTAAGGTCCAATCATTTAACATTTTTCTGTATTATCTTTAAAACAAAATTTTTCAATTCTCTAATAATTTGAGATATTTTAGCCCATAACTTTTTGAATACAATTTTTTTTTTACCAGATATTTTGTTAAAAAATTTTCAGTTTAACTTGAGTTTAACTAGATTTTTTATAGCAATAGAAGTCATAAGCATATAAACATTCTGAATAATATTTAACATTTACACCATGAACAGCTAAAATTTTATTCATGTTTGCTAAGCATTTTGAAAATTGTTTTAAGCAATGGCAAATAAGCACTCACCATTTTCTGGGGATTGTGTCCAATCACAGCTTCCAAGCGCTCTAACCTTTCTTCGATGTTGGCCAACTAAACAAGAAAACATTTATCATTTAAATAACAAATCTATTTATGAAAATATTTATCTTTACATTCACAAATAATTTAAATACTTTGTATAGATTTCAAATATTTTATAAATGGAAAGCTTTAATATATGATGATGTTGAGCTGTGGTTCACTAATATGCTTCAATAGAAAAAAATTGCTGTCATAAGTATTTAGAATGTTGGTCAGCTGATCTGAAAACTAACAATGATCTGCTGCTGGGTATGTTCATTGTTATAAAAAAATCAGCAATTATTACAAGATACATCAGGTAATTGAGAACAGATATCAAGAAAAATAAAGATATTTAATGGAAGAACAAGTAAGTTTTCATTTCCCACAAAATTTGTACACATTCAAGATAGAAAACTAGAAAAAGGTTATTCAATAAAACCAACTAGTCTTGAAGACGGTCTTGATGCAACTTTAGAAGTGAATATATGCCCAGATCACAGAGTTCTTATTCATGATAGAAACTTTCAACAAGTCCTGAGTAGCTTTTTGAATAATTTCTAGTTGGTCTCCCTTTTGATAATGCTCCAGATGGATTAAAATTAAGAAAGCTAGAAGGACACAAGTTAGAGGTGATATGATTGTGAAAATGGTCATTCACTCCTAAGTCTAATGGGCCATGTGGGAAAAAACACGGACTTCCAGAACATATATGTCCAGCCACTTTATCAAAGGCTTGATCACTAGGCCCAGCACCCTGACGTAGACAGTAATACTGACCCCGAGTTCCCTGCCAGAAAAAGTGAGGTGGCATGATATCCTTCATAAAACAATAGCAAGGGTTCTCAGCATTCAGCAGCAAAGATATTTTTGGTGCCACCCAGATCTGAAATGATTAGATTATTTGATCTGTAACCCAGTACCTACTTGAAAATAACCTAAAGAAATAAAACAATCAGAAATTGCATGCTTCTGCTAATGTCACTGTCAGTAAAGCTACTTACAAGTGAAGTAACTATAGAAATTCAATTCATTTTTGTTATCACTTATCCTATCATCCATAGCAAACCTTTTCGTAAAATTTAAAAGAAAATCGTTTATAGCTTTTTGAGGTATTGCAGTACATCGGAAGGGGAAGCAATTGTGTATGGATCAGCCCCAAAATTTAAAATAGCTCATTATCAAATATTCCACCAAAATTTATTGAAAACCTTTGGAAAAATCCAAATTAAATACCTCAAGTAATCTTGCATACATGCAGAATTTAAAACTCTTTTTTTATGAGAAACCAATCATTTCTTGTATAAATAAATTATAAAACACAATAATGAAATACTATTTGCATTTACAAATAGTAAATTTTATGTTTACAAAACTGTACATATAACTTTATAATTTGATCTTAGGCATTCATGGTTAATTTATATTTCCATTAAACACATGAATCTTTTGTTCTAAAAATAAATTAATTAGGTTATTAAAATTTAAGTTGTAACATGTGCCTTTTACAATACTTAATATTATTGAGTCCCTAAATTATTCTTGAGTAATTAAGATTCTCAGGTATCTAAGAATTTCTTAAATTTCAGAAACCATTTTAGACATGAAATTATGAATGTTAACAAATCAGTTGCAACTATTGATTCAGGAAGATTAGTATTTTTTTCTTATCAATATTCTACAATATTTGCACTATTTATATTCAGACTACTGTCCTCATTTTTGTTTTTATCACGTTTCAGCTGTCATGTCCTCCAGCCTTCCTCAGGTGTATATTGATCTGGGTAATCTACAGGTAATTCTATACTGAACTCTAATCTACAGAGGTAAACTGTTCTCATTCCACTGCTCATGTATAGGGATATTGTCTAGTTCTTATTGTTATTTAGTACTATTCAGTTATTGTTCACCTGTTTCCACTGAGTGCAAGTAAATACTGCTTGACCAAAGGATTGAACTCACAACCACTGTTCAGCTTTCTTTTGTTTCCATGTGATAAGCAGAAGACCTACCAAAGTACCCTTGTTAAGACTACAACACTGGACACAGTACCTATAGACTGTAGTGTTGAAACAGTGCTCAATGTCTAACAGGCAGAACTAACATTCAGTAAAACACAACAAAATCAGTTGAAAGACCTCTACCAAAAGTTTCATGGAAATATTCAATCATCAGGCAGTAACCAACCAATTAAATGGCATATTTACATGAAATCTTTTAGCAGTTGTACAAAATATTTTGGGTGTTATGTTTTTAATGTGTTTAACTATAGAATTGCTTTCAGTAGATATGCTTTTATTTCCTGATAAAGTACCATAAATCTACATAAGTTTAGCTCTAAGATTTAATTAAATCAGTTTTGATTGCTTAGAATATCTGTCTATCTATATAGATCACTTCCAACAAATAGCTCCCTAGAAAACTGTGAAATAATTTTACAATTACAGAAAGATGTTTTCATTTATCCTTTCACCTTAGGTATTTACCATGGTTAGCCAGATGGACTCTTTGGTGAAATAAGGGTCCTACTATTAGGGTGTTGTTCCAGACTGAGCTATGTTTAGTAAATAAGCTGAAGAGCCTTGCTGTGTAGGAGCTTGATTTCTATTCAGTATCCCACACTTGTGGCTCAGAGGCCACAAACATCTTTTTTTTTTTAGTTCTTTATAGAATTAATCAAAAAATGGACATCAAGAAGTATTACTATTAATAAAACAATGTTAAAAAATATTTAATTAACTATTCAATTTTTAATATACAAGAAGCAAATGTATTTGTTATGTTTGGAATTATTTTTATTTAAATATTAAATCATAAAATTTACACAAAATGTCTTTATAGAAAGTTTTACACAAATAGTCAGATTTACCTTGGCATTCTTGCTAAATTGGGCTTGTTCTGGTCGATAGTAAAGTTCATAGGTGACATGATCTTTAGCTTGAGCAGATGTAGGCTGAGGAGCACTCTCACTTTTGGCAGGAGCAGTAGTTGCTGGAGTATATGTTTCCAATTGAGTTAGCAAACGCCTTACAAAGACAAAGTAAAATATCAAATGAGAAAATCATGAAATACAATGAAAATGAAAGATTTATTTTTCAGAATGATTTTTAATACAAACTTTCTAAGGGCTCCTTGAGGATCGGAAAGATCGATTGAGGTTTCTGGTCCCAATAACTTTTCTAAATGCAAATCAGCCAATTGGTGATGAAGATATTCTAATTGCTTCCCAAAATTAACAGGAGAGAGATTTTCACTGTTGCTATCAGTTTTGGCTGCTTCCTACAGGAGAGAAAAAAATATTAGTATCAGCAGTTTGGATTAAAAAAAAAAAGAAAAAAAGAAAAGAAAAAGCAACAACAAAAGCTGTAAGTGTTGTTCAATTAAAATACAAAATTTGTTTAGCTATTTTTAATTTTTTAATTAATTGTGGAGAGCAAGCATCAAGGTGATCATCTTTTGGCAAATTCTAACACTTAACTAATTCCTTGCACTGAATGCATTGATCAAATAAAGGAACTGTATCAATGTACAGAATTTTACATGTCTGGTGATAACCCTAATACAGAAACATTCCAAACCTCATCAGTAGTACGATAACGAGGAAGTGAGAGTCCCAAGTCTATTTAAACTTTTCCTAGACTATGCCCTGAACATTTACAAGCACAGATGTAAAGAGATGGGCACTAACCATTTAAGCATTCCATACCACATCCCAAATGAATCTACCAATAGAAGACAACAATCCTGCTTTTTTCTTCCAAGGACACTGCACTGATGATGATGGGGGAGGAGGTCTGATCCCAGATATTCGTAGTTGGGATATGAATGAACTTGAACAAAAAAATCAACATCCTCTACCAAGTGTTCCAAGAAATGGGACTAAACCTCTTCAAAAAAGAAACTATGATCCAGAAGTGGAATGAAAGCAGTGATGGCATATACCCTGAATCCATCATAAAAATTCAGGATGTGGAATAAGTAAATACAAAGCACTTCAAATATCTCATCATATGAAACAAATTGAATATAGGAGTAAAGGAAATTGAACACAGAATAGACTGCAGCAGAGGTAGTTTTGTCAACAGTGCAAATTGCTACAAAACCAAAATATCAACCTGAAAACTCATGTTCTCGAATAGCTTCATTAGATTGAGACTTTCATATGGATGCCATGCATGGTGTCAAACTTATACAGAAATACCTAAACTGTCAGCTGTATACAACTACTTTCTAAAATTAATGGTTAAAAAATGATTTGAGTGCGTGAAGCCTGAGGGTCTTGGCAAAGATCATCCTTTGAACATTGTGAACTGGCACTACAGATTCACAAAGAACTGTACCAAATAACAGAAACCACATCACTTGAGGACTACCAACATCAGCAACAACTAAAATGGATAGTACATGTAACTCAAAGAGAAAATAATGACATAATCAAGATGTTGACATTCAACATTACTTCAAATAAAAGGTTAGGAAGGAAACACCCCATCAATACTGGAAAGAGTGATATCAGCTACTGAACTTCAGAAACATATTTCTCTTTAAGAGAAAGATTTCATAAATTTCAACTGAAAGCAGTAACTGCTTCGTCAATGAATGGTAAATGTTTCCTTATAGGGAAACAACTAATTTTACCATTACTATTAATGATAATTATTGTGTTTTAGAAATTTTGTATATTTATAAATATAAAAATGTGGGAAAAGTTTATTTTTATTTTTTGTAGTAAAATGCTTCAATCCAGAGATGTTAGAAGACCTTAATGTCAGAAATAATTATTTTCATTTATGTTATCTGATATATTGATGAGAAGTTTCGCAGATAACTGCTGATTTTAAAACTTTGCATAAAGTAAGTTTCATTGAAAATTCAGTTTGTACATTACAACATTCTGAATGCAAGTCATTTCATAAACATGATAAGCAAAATAAAAACATGATGCTACATGCAGTGCATAAATAAAGATTTTATATATATTGTGCGTACAACTTTTAATCATATTTATCTAATCATCATGTATTGTTTAAAAAAAATCAATTTTTATGATTCATAAAAAATAGAATTCAAAATTTGTGTTACTTACAGTAACTTTACTAATTTCTTCAGAGAGTTCTCTAATTTCATGCTGAAGTCTTTGGTATCTTTGTTGAGGAGATTCTTTTGTATCACTTCCTTCTTCCAACTAAAATTAATAACAAAAATAGTTTTTTTTTTCAGAACTTTCCTCAAAATATAGTAAAAGATCAACAAAGAAAATTAAAAATTATTTATTAATAAAGTCAGATATGTAATTATTAAAAATGTTCATATATGATATAGAAATATTTAAGTATAAAAAAAATTGTTTCTTAGATAAATCAACAAGAAAATGATTTGATTTTTGCCATGCCGTTATGAAAAATTAAATAGTTTACAAAAACTAATCTTAATTACTTGGGAATTGTACAAAGAAAATGTATTGACATTTGACTCCTTTCATGTTTATGGATATTTTGGGAATATAATCTGTCACTTTATTTAAGAGCTGTATTGAGTATGGAACACAAATTCCTTAATCTTTCCAAACTCAATAAGTGAATTAATTTTCTCTTATCAGAGATCAATAGAATTAACTGTAAGAGGATTTGATGCTTTAAATATTTTTTATGTTACAAAATAATGAAACTTATAAATTTGTATTACCAAAACAAAATTTAATCTGCAAACAGAGAAAGAAAGCAAGCAAAAAAACTTACAATTTCATATTCACTTTTGATTATGTCATAGCCGGTATTCTTCTGACTTCGGATTCTACCAGAAAAATCTGAAAATATTTAAATATTCTTCTAACCAACATAGACCTGTAAAAATGGTTGGCATTTACTTTGAAGGATATGAAATCTTTTAAATATTTTAACGTATTCATGAATTCAAAAGTTAATCTTTGTAAATGATATAAAAAGGTTATCAGAATGCAATTATTAAAGTCACTTTTGAACAGACAAGAATAATATGACTTTTCTTCACTTTAGTTAACAATAACTCAAAAGCATACAATATTTCAGTGTATTTCCTTCACTTTTACAGTAAGCAAAAGCAATAAAATAAATGCCAATTTTAATTTCCTTTATGTTCTCCACTTTTGTTTTCTATGTAACCGTTTCAAAAGAAAAAAAAAGGCTTAGATACATTTTAATATTATAGTAAATGTTGTCATCCAATATAAAATATTAATACTGAAAAGAGGGTACTATGCAAAAAGAAATGCATTAAAATGTGTCTATTAATGAAAAAATACAAATAAACTGAACTGTTCATTTTTCTCCCCTTTCATTTTGAAACTTAGACACTATAGGAAAAAATAAATGATGGGGGCAGACTGACTATTCTACTTCTTCCTCACTCGCCTAAAAGAAATAGATTCCTGGGTTCTATTTCTTCACCACCACATGCTGGGCACTTTTCAGTTGACAAAATCATTTGTATCTCTTTCATCTTCTTTTTTCCTGTCAAATCCATTCATCAGACTAACAAACATAATCTGCCCAAGAAAGAAAAATGGCTCTTTTCTTGCTCTTAGCATCTTGCTTTTTATGCCTCCTCAAGCACGCCAGAATTTGCATATGTGCAAATCCCGTCTTTTAGAGACAAGACAAGAACTCATAAATTGTGCCCTCAAGAGTGGCCATATTTTCTTTTCAGCACTTTGCATGCAATAAATGTCCATGCTCGTTTTGATCTCTGGGGTAAGTCATTTCTTTCATCACAATACATATTACTACTACACTCCCCCCTGATCTCATGATCACATATGATACAACCAGTGGGCAGTCTCTTGCGTCGTGTGCTTCTTTGCAGGGGTATAGCCACAGGGTTTTCATCAGACGAGTCATCAGAAGAATGGGTGTTGGCTGCATCTATGCTGGGTGCTGGTGTATCTGTCATTTTTCCAACAGTCACAACTCTTTCATTCTCTGAAGACACGTCAGAGCAGTCTGTCAGAGGGCCTGGTCCAATCATAGGCCGCAGATCTTTGACATGGCGTGGCATTTCATCAATGAAGACATTCTGCACGCTAGTAACTCCAGTGACACACCCAAACTTGTATTTGGCTGTACATTGCCCATAGGGGACTTTTACCCACACTTTGTCACCCGTTTTGAAGTAAGCCCGCCATTGGTCAGGTGCCGATGTTGACATTCAGTCCCTTTCTTAAACAAGATGCTGTAAAAGGTGTTGTTATCCATCAAAATTTCAGCCGGAGTGTCCTGCTTGCAAAACAGTGCTTTCAACAGGCTGAACACTTGCTGCATCCTGCCGGTGGAGACGTCGCCAGATGGTAAACCGAGTGGGGCCGCAATTAATTAATGTCAAAAAAATGGGCTCCCTTATAATGAATAATGTCCATGGCTAGCTGGTGTCATCTCTCTTAAACATCCAGAGCACCCTCTGGCCAGTGCACAGGTGATGAAGTAGAGTGTCCACCTCACACCAGGATGGCCACTCTGTCGGTGTATAGTTCTGATTTGATCAGACCCAACTGAGCTCACAGATGCAGTGCCAGTAGGCTGTACAGGCTCAGTGTTCCTCCTAATTGCATCAATCCATCTCTGAGGCGCCCTCATCAGTCGATCTGCTTTGTTTTGGCTAGATTTAACCAAGGTCACATCCATAGATAATGCATATTCGTTCACCAGTTTCATCAGCATGTCGAGCTATCGTCGGATGAGCATCTCGCTCGCTGCTTTTGTTTGCACTCTGACCCTCCCCGTGAGGGTGTCTGACACAAGCGGAATCTGTGAAGAGGTGCAAGGTATTTGCCTTCCAGAGGATTGCCAAATTCACCCCTTTAATAATGGCATCAATTTCTGCAAGTTTGATATGTTGGGAGTCCTTTTCTGGTCATAACCAACAGGCATCATCTACCACGGCCCCACCACATTCCAACAACACACTGGTAGCAAGAGAGCTTGTGTCGGCCCATGAACTGAAGATTGACCATCAACACACCATTTGCCATGTGCGGGGTCCTCCTTGTGCACTCTGGTGAGAACCTCTTTGATCATGGTGTTAAGAGTATCATCGTCAACTTTGTTGTCCCAACCAGCAGTAGCCTTGGATGTTATCCGCTTGAAGAAGGCCACAGCCACACAAAGCCATCCACCCACAGGAAGATGTCAAACCAGCTTGCTGCATAATGAAAATATGTTGCGTCAGGTGACGACACGAGGTATATCCGGAGTCCTGTTCCCTCTTTTCCAGTAGTGTGTGTGATGCTCCCCCCAGACCTATAGACCAAGCACTCACGCACCATCCTTTAGCTTCTCTGGTTCTTTGCTTCCAAGTCCAAAGCTGTCGAGATATTCCTTCACACGTGCTGTGGGCTTGACACTCATCCATGTATATGTCATCAATTTAGGCAGACATTGCCTGCTGTATGCATTTGTCTTTCGTTAAAATGGTGTCAACAATTGTCTACATGATGGATGGTGCCACATTAAGTCCAAATCCCATATGGGTCAGACAATACCTTCGTCCACTAATTAGCATGGTTTGATAGGGCCATAGCGATCGGCGCACATGTACTTGAAGATATGGCTTTCGAAGATCTAACACTGACACATTCGAGCCTGCTCATCACCACTCTCTCAACTTTTGTGCACATACATCTGCACGAGCTCTGACTGCATCCACATGCTCATTCAATTCTTGATAGTCAAGCACAGGTCTTACTTTTTCTTTATTTTGTTAGATGATTGCCATCAGTGGGATCAGACCCTTTGGGGGCCCCAATTCCTCTTCTGGGTAATGCACCAACCACCCATTACTGATCCATGTCTGTAACTCCCTAGCATATTCTGCTCAAGCTCTTGCAGGAACATTGTATTCCGGAACTCTGTTACATAATTTCTCTGGTGGTTGATTACCAGGCCACTTCCATGACATTATCCAGGATTTGGTGTGTTGATTGAATTCTGCACTGAAATCGGGTTCTTCCAATTTTATTGTAACACCCAAAGTAAAGGTCTGCCTCAGAAAAATGTACCCTGCTTCACTTGTCAGTGTGCATACCGCCCAATTCCTTAATGATGTCCATTCCTAGGAGGAGGTCAAATCCCAATGGTTTGCTGTTCACCACTAGTGCATCCATCTCAAGGGGATTTCTGTTGGTTGCATTTGATGTGATGCTTCCAACACCGTGGCTAAAAAGGCACTTCCCGCCTGCCGTCTAGATTGTGATGCATTTCTGTCTTTTGGGTTGACATATCAACCTACTTACAATGGATGAGGAGCAGCCAGAGTCCACCAACGCTGTTTGGTCTATCCCATCAATTTGAAACTTTATCACAGGGAGCACCTCTTTTATTCTGTGTGGGGAGAGAATGGTACTTACTTCTCGTCCCTGGCCTCGTTTCCTGGACATCTTGATGCAACATGTACTTTTTTCTGGCACCGGTAGCAGTGTATCTCTGGGAGCGTCCTTTTCCCTTTGACACCTTGTCTCCCCTTCCTAGGCTTCTGGCAGTGCATAGCAAAGTGATTAGGTCCTCCGCATTCATAGCATTGCAATCTATTCCTTCGCTTGGGGGGAGGGGGTGAAGGTGGATCTACAGGTACACAAAGGAGGACCCTGTATTGCCTGATGACAGCAGCAACAGGCTCATCAACCTCCACTTCCTCAGTCATGAGGGCTTGAGCCCTGGTGAGAACCTGCTCTAATGTCATATCCTCCATCTTTGAGGATGCCCGCAATTGCTGTCTGAAAAAACTAGAAAGCCCCGAGACAAACACACAAGTCAGCCATCAATCGGGCAGACCTCCTCCTGCCAAACACGCCAGATTCTGCAATTCACCCAAATACTCGTCTACGGTTTCTCCAAGACGTAAACGACAAGATACAAACTTGTCAAATGCCACAAAAGGATCTGGTGTGAAGGCTACGAGAAGGGCTCGTTTCACATGTTTCAAGTCCTCCCTCTGGTCACGGGACAATCGTTGGTACACCGACAGAGCTCCACCTCTCAATCTTAGTGGTATAATGTGCTCAACATTGTCCACCCCACACATCTTGCACACAAGCTCCACCTGTTCCATCCATTCAAACACTGTGTGATCTGATGAAATGCCATGAAATTCCAGAATTAGTCAGATGTCAAAAGCTTTGCCTGCCATTACAGCAGTCATTTGTGTTTCTTTCACCTTCTTTTTTCCTATCAATTCATCAGACTAACAAATGTAATCTGCACAAGAAAGAAATATGTCTCTTTTCTCGCTCTTAGTATCTCACTTTTTATGCCTCCTCAGGCAGGCCAGGATTTGCATATGTGCAAATCCCATCTTGTAGAGAAGAGATAAGCACTCATAAATTGTGCCTCCAAGAGTGGCCATATTTTCTTTTCAGCACTTTACATGCAAGACATGTCTGTGCTCATTTCGATCTCTGGGGTAAGTCATTTCTTTCGTCACAATACATATTACTACTACAGACACTTCTTCCTATAACTAATAATAGTTATAATAAATATTGTAATATGATATCTATGAGATTCACCATGACATTAAGAAATAAAAGTGTCTTCTAGTCAAAGTAATCTTATCACAAATTAAGCTTTTATGTTTGAGCTGAACTAACCCCTTATTACAAGATCCATGCATTTCTGTACATTAATGTCATAATCTATTCAAACATAGAAGAAAAACACTTATCTGTTCACATATTCAGAATTATTAGATAATAGAATAATTTTTATAACAGTAATTTCATGATAATTTATCTATCAACAAAACAGATGTTCCTTATAATCAAAAGGAAATATAAATTGTCAGTTTTCAAACTTCTGAATGCACAAATTATACTTTTACAATACTTGTTTATTCTATTTTTATACAAAATATAAATGTATGAAAAGTATTTTTCACATTAAATATGTGAAAAATATTTTTCTACGAGATGAAAAGTAGAGCAGCATAGAATATACACAAAAAGATGAAATCTATTTCACTTTGTTGAAATTATGTATTTTGAAGTCTACTTATCTTTTGGTAGCAGTATCAATTTAAAACCAATGACAAGACTATCCTCTGTTGTATTCATATTTCTTATTTGAAATGGGTTTCTATTTTACTAGATTAAAACTGTGAGGACTTAAAAAGCAGCAGTTGTGAAAAGTATTCAAAATTCAACCCTAAAATGTCTCACCAGCATTAGAGGCATCAAGAACTTTTCCTTTAAATTTGTCATAGGCAGCTTTTGAATCAAGTTTCATTCGTGTAATAGCCTCATTATGAACCTCTTCCTTCAAAAAGAGAAAAAAAATATTTAAAAGCAGTCAATAAAAAGTAAAGTTGTAGAAAAATACATTAGTAAATATACAAAGCTAGTCAATCTTATTAAAATAATATTAAATGTTTTGTTGCTTACATTTGGAAATGGGATTCCCTATATATATATATATATATATATACATACACATGAATTATTCACACAAAAACTAATGCAAATGTTAATGATTTAAATGGCGAGACATCCATCATCGCAAACAATTCAAATAATATACAAAACCTCCATATCCGTTATGAATGAAAAATGATCCTTGTTTATATAAATTTCTGCTGTATTAGTTCTTATTTTACTACAAGCTTTCGTCTGTTCCTACAGACATCTTCAGGTATAGAATAGATGTTGTTCTTGTTTTTTCTCTTAGTAATAAGAGGACAACGAAAATATATGTATTGTTGTATCCGAAAATGCTATTGAAAATGAGTTATTGTTTTTGACTACAAGCTTTCATCTGTTCCTAATTACTAAGAGAAAAAACAAGAACGACATCTATTCTATACCTGAAGATGTCTGTAGGAACAGACGAAAGCTTGTAGTAAAATAAGAACTAATATGGCAGAAATTTATATAAACAAGGATCATTTCATTCATAACGGATAATGGAGGTTTTGTATATTATTTGAATTGTTTATGGCGATGGATGTCTCGCCATTTAAATCATTATCCTTTGCATTAGTTTTGTGAATAATTCATGTATTTGTAAATTGATTGCATATTATCGTAATATATATATATATATATATATATATATATACACATACATACATATACACACAAATTTATTTAACTGCTTAAGTGCATATATTCTTATCTCGGGGATGTGTGTAGCTTTACGGGTGATTTTTTTTTTTTTTTTTTTTTTAAAAAACAAAATTTATTTGTAGAAAAAGACTTCATTCATTCAATATTTCATGTCAAAATGTTAATTTTACTAGATTTACATACATTAATGAAGCTTCAGAAATTACAATTAGATGGTTAATTTATTTCCACCCAAGTTTTTAAGCTCAAGTAATCAGAAATGTCATGTTTCCCAAGTACTTTGCAATATAACCAGTGACAAGCATACTTTTATTTTGGATGAAAATAGATTACTTATTTCAAGAGAGAAAGTCAGAGATGATGAATATCTCTAGAAAGAAAAAAGAGTTTATTATTTCTAACTCTACTGGGTAGGTCACTTGGATAATTATGAATACATTATGAAATTTCTGTAAAAAAAAAATTTGGTAAATACTTCAAGAAAAATTGAAACAAATATTTACCTGATCTGGGCGAGTCTTCTGATCCACTTCAGGTAGTTCGCTTGTTTCATAAACATCAGGAGAATTCAAGTCCTTTAATAATAAGACAAATAATTGTATGAAGAGAAAAAAATCAATCATAATTTAGTATAAATTAGAAAAATAGGATTTAAATGTAAATATAAACATATTTGTAATACATTACAAAAGGATACAAAAAAATCAATAATAATCATAAATGACTTCGGTCTAAAAAATAGTTTATACAGGTAACAAATATGCAGGATAATGAATAAAAAAATGATTGTATGTATTTGGTAGCATATAAGATCCTCTACCCCTGATGAAATATTAGAATTTTAGAGATCTGTAATAAATAAACTGGTTTTCAAATGAATCAGATAAAGATCCACCTAACATTTGCTTTCTTCATATTTTCTGTTGAAATGGTGATTGGGTCTTTGTAAGCATCCTGAAAGCAAAGGAAGTAGTTGTCGCAGATTACTTCCACAACACAAAGAAAAATCACTGTAAGTACAGACTCGAATATCGGGGGGCAGAAAGAAATGCTGAAAACTCGATTCGCCGGTACTATCTCAATTCACAATGTGTGTAACCAGTCAGAAAAATAACACACTCACTAACAAACGTCATGGCCAAAAATGCCCGAATTTTCCGATCTCGAATCGAGAACACCAACTGCTTTTATCGGCAGAACCTATTTTTTCATTCATTGACAGCTGGGATAGGATGTTCCGTAATTTGCATATCAAAATACTTTTATAGCGACTCCTGCGACGGACTTGTTTTTTTTTTTCTTTGATTCAATTATTCCATTTTCAGCATGTTATGCAGAATACGTGCCCTTCTGTTTGGTAAGTAATTTTCTTTTTCGACACTTTTTCCGTCGTAGAATGTACGTGACGCGCTGTCGCATGGTTTGACGAGGTAAGTTGCTGTTTTCTTCACTATACTCCCCCTTGATCTCACTATCACAAATCGAACAACCTGGAGCAGGTCTCTTTATCCTGGTGCTTCGTCGTAATGGCACTATTTCCCTTACACGTGTCGGAGAGTCGTCTCCTGAGGAGTCATCAGACGTATCTTGAGTTTCCAGAAGTTCTGTGTCTGAATTATCTGCTCACTGTCAGACGATGAATAATCATTGGATTCGCTCGGCGATGTATCAAAATCAACGAAAAGGAAAAGATCTTTTACATGCCATGGCATCCCGTCAACTAGTACTGTTTGTGGACTTACAATGTCCGTCACGTGACCCACTTGATACCTGAAGGTACACCGGTCATGGGGAGCTTTCACCCATACTCTGTTCCCAACTTTGTATATATCATGATACTCACAATGATCAGGTGGTAATGTAGTAATTCCCTTCACTTTCAGTTGGTAACGGTGAATCATATTGGCAGGTGCATTAGTCGACAATATATCATCCTTCAGCGTGATATTATGCCAGTATACTGCCTCCATTATCAAATACTGCTTTCTTGCTGCAATTTGCTTTATGCTCTGATGAGATCTTTCCACTTTACCGTTTCCTGCAGGAACATAGGCGCAGCGAAAACGAAGTTGGACTCCCCAGTCATCCAGGAAATCTTTAAAGGACTTACTGCGAAATGCAGTATCATTGTCGGTCAGGATTTCTGATGGTGGGCCTCCTTAAAAAAAATACTTTCTAACTGCCAAATGACGCTTCTTGATTCTTGTTGAAGCAGGCGTCGCCATATCGCAAATTTACTAGGGCCGCAATTAACGTAAGGTAGTGTTGCCCACCGTAATGTGTAATGTCCATTCCTAAGTGGGTCCAGATTTCAGTCACACTTAGGTTGCCATGAGGCCAAAGACTTGAGGCCAGGTCAATTGACTGGCATTCTTTACATTTTCTGACCACTGCCTTGACAGCCGCCTTGGATGTCGTAGGGTAGACTCGTCTTACAAAATATAGCGTCCGCCTGACGCCAGGGTGTCCACTCTGGCAATGTATGGCACGTATCTGATCAGGAGAGGTTTCATTCACCATGGAAGCGCATATCGGGTGTGTTGGTTTGGTTTCCTTCTTTATCATATCATACCATCGTTGCGGTACTCTGGTGAGCTTATCTGCTCAATTCTCACTCGACGTTACTAATCTTATTGTGATCAATAAGTTATACTCTTGAATCAGTTTTTCAAGATTACTCAAACGCCTCCAGATCAGCATCTCACTTGCCGCCTTAGTTCGTATTCTGGCTTTGCCAGTGAGCATGTGTGATACCCACTGGTGCACACACGCTTAGTCCGTGAAGAGGTGTAGCTCCGTTGCGCTCCACTGTAATGCTAAATTGACGCCCTTCAGAATAGCATCCAATTCTGATAAATTGATATGTTGGACATCCTTCATAGGTTGCAGCCAACATGCGTCTTCTACAACGCTTCCGTTAACCTCCAACAAAACCCCTGTGGTGAGAGAACTTGCATCGACCCATACCTCATAAGCATGTCTGCTTGTGCACCACTTACCATGTGCAGGGTCATTCTGGCATATTATTTCCACTATGTCCTCAATCATGTTCTTAAGGGGGGCATCTGTCACTTCGTCGTCCCAACCAGATGTGATCGATACTGTCCTGCGTTTTACAAATGATGCCGCAACTCGAAGCCACCCACATACAGGAATGTGACCTACCAGTTTTCCACACCACGAGAAGATGTTACGTTGTGTCAGGACCTCAGGAACTGATGGAATGCCATTTCCACGTTTCCACTTAAGCATGTTGTTATCTTGCTTGACATGCCAACCCAGCACACATGTGCCGTCCTGTAACTGCTCCGGATCCTTGCAGGTCAAACCAAACGCAGCCAAGTGCTCTTTCATGTGAGCTACTGAAATCATGCTCTCGTCATCATAAATATCATCAATATATGATGAGGTTGCCCGTCGAACTGACTCGTCTTTCGCCAACGCGGCATCCACAATGGCCTTCATTATGGCTGGTGCAACATTCAACCCGAAACCCATTTGGGTCAAGCAATATCTTTGCCCCTTGAAGATTATAGTTTGAAAGGGCCAAAGTGACTTTTGGATATGTACTTGCAAATAAGCCTGTCGTAGGTCAAGGATGGCGACTTCCGGTCCTTTTTACGCCACTCCCTCAGTTTTCTGTGCGCACACGTCAGCATTGGCTGCGCAAAGCGCCGAGACACTCATTCAGCTCTCGATAGTCTAATACTGGCTGCACTTTATTTTTGTTTTTCTGCACCACCGCCACCAACGGAATTAAACCTTTTGGAGGACTGAGTTCCTTTTCAGGATAAGACTGCAACCAACTGTTATCAAGCCAGGTCTGCAGCTCACTGTCGTATTCCTCCTTGTCTCCCTTTGGTATTGGGTACTCGGGCATCCGATTTCGCAAACTCTCCGGTGATCGACCATTAGACCACTTCCATGATGCGACCCACATCTTTTGGCGTGGGTCGAATTCTATTTTAATGGCAGCACAACAGACTATTTCATGCTTGGGAAACTGTACATCGCCACTCTCTGTTATTTGGATTCCGCCCAACTTTTTAATGGCGTCAAACCCAATTAACAAGTCGAAACCCAATAGCTCTCCATCCACTACCAAGACTTCAATCTTAAGGGGGTTTGCGTTGTCCACATCAAGCTTGATACTTCCAACTCCGCAACATTTGAGAGTATTTCCGTTTATGGTGAGTACGTCCACCTCCGTCTCTCACCAGGATTGACAGGCTGACTTACTCACGAGTGTCTGTGAGCAGCCAGTGTCCACCAGTGCCACTCTCTTAATTCCGTTCATGTAAATACCCAACACAGGTAGCGCCTCATTTATAACTCGCTTAGGGAAGAGACCGGTGCTGACGTCTTGTCCCCTTCCTCTTTTTCCGGACACGATGAAGCAATGTGGCCTACCTCTTGACACCGGAAGCAACGCATTGTTGCACATGATCTGCGTGACTGGCGGGCATCTTCTTGTTGAACCGAGCAGTCCCTGGAAAAGTGATTCCACCCAGAGCATCGATAGCATCGCATACCCTCCCGACGTTGGAATGGATGTTTATCAGCTCCGCCTGGTAAAATCATAGCTGCAACTATTTCCTCAGTTGCATTTTGATTTTTCATTATGGCTCGAGCTCGGTCCAACAGTTGGTTTGTATTCATGTCTTCCATCCTGGAAGACGTGCGCAGTAGTTGCTTGACGTGCGCTGGTAACCCAGCTATGAACGCACATGCTAATCCTTGCTCGGATATCCCGCCACAAACTGCTTGTAAGCCAAGAAATGATCCAGCACAAAGGCAATCTGCAGGGCTCGTTTTATCTGCTCAACATCTGATTTTTGCTCCAAGTTTAACTGTTGGTAAACAGCAAACCCTCCACCCGTCAACCTCAGAGGAAGAACACGTTCAATCTTTTTAATCCCACACAGGTCACAAACAAGTTCTGCCTTCTCAATCCATTCAGTAACTGCTTGTCCGGTCACTGACCCATCAAACTCGGGTATTAACTTGACGTCAAATGTCTTATCCGTCATACTGCCGAAATAGCTTGTAAGCGTCCTGAAAGCAAAGGAAATACTTGTCGCAGATTAGTTCCACGACACAAAGAAAAATCACTGTAAGTACAGACTCGAATATCGGGGACAGAAAGAAATGCTGAAAACTTGATTCGCCGGTACTATCTCAAATCACAATGTGTATAACCAGTCAGAAAAATAACACACTCACTAACAAACGTCATGGCCAAAAATGCCCGAATTTTCCGATCTCGAATCGAGAACACCAACTGCTTTTATCGGCAGAACCTATTTTTTCATTCATTGACAGCTGGGATAGGATGTTCCGTAATTTGCATATCAAAATACTTTTATAGCGACTTCTGCGACGGACTTGTTTTTTTTTCTTTAATTCAATTATTCCATTTTCAGCATGTTATGCGGAATACGTGCCCTTCTGTTTGGTAAGTAATTTTCTTTTTCGACATTTTTTCCGTTGTAGAATACACGCGACGCGCTGTCGCTTGGTTTGACGAGGTAAGTCGCCGTTTTCTTCGCTATAGTCTTTTATATCACTAAATAATGGTAATCTATTTCATACTGAAAAAGTTTAAAACATTATAAATTAAAAAGATATTTATAGAAAATATAAAATATTTCTGTGCAAAACTGGTTTAATAAAATGAAAAATAACAATATTATTTAAAACATTTAATAATCAATATTTTTTTTACATCCTTTAGGATAAATGCATTTAAAATATTGGTGAATTCTTAACTTTTAAAAAACTACATGTGAATTTTCTCTCCTTAATAATACTAGAATCCTTGATTGGATTATATTAAAAAGAAATTCTAAATGATTCTGGTGAGGTGATGCATTCATATTCATTGAATTCTCTTTCTATTGTGATTCATTCTCAAAATCTAATTGATGAGATATAAGTACAAATGTTACCAAAATTGAGTATTTATTGTCTTTAGAATATACAGTCCATCCATTTAAAGTCATCCCAATTTCTTTTCAAACCAAAACTTTCCAAATAATCTTTGATAAACATCTTAACTGGATGATCATTATTTAAATAAAAGATATTCACTTAATTTTTAAAAACACTTAAATATAAGTAGTAGAGCCTAAAATTTCAAGATACCTTGTCTGAGATCAGTTCTGCATTATCTTGTTAGAATGAACCTTAACTACCAGGAAACATGGCAAAAATAAAGGGACACAAATGGTTTGTAACAAGACATGTATGTCACAGTTGAAAACACATTCCAATTTCACTACTGGTCTTTTTGAACTTGTCACAACACATGCCACAACATTACAGAGCCACTACCAGCTTGCATAAAACCCTGCTGACAGGCTAAATCCATAGCCTCTGATCTCCTTTACACATGAAGTCACTTAAAGAACTAGAAATATAACTCATCTGACCAAGAGACATGGTGCCAATCTTCCAAAGACAATATCCTTTAGCTAAATGATGCTCAGTAATTGATGTTGTGGTGTCAATAACAGCACCTTTGTTGGTCAGCAACTATGAAACCCAATCAGGTGAATTGTTTTAATAAATTCTTCAGAAAAATCTAAGAAAAGTTTGCATTTACATAATATCCTATGTGAATATAAAAGCAAAAGAATATAAGTAACAGACTGTTCATCTTCTTATAGTCAGACTCAGGGAACATAAAGAAGCCATATTGAAATGGTAAGCAGAAAAATCAGGTATTATAGAAAGAAATGTTACTCTCTCTAGGACAAGATCCTAATAGATAAAGTAAAAGACTGCAGAACAAGAAAATTGAAAGTGGCATAGATCAGCATTATTATTCTACTAGATGCATAAGTTAGATCAGCGATTCTCTACCACTGTGTTGTGGCACTCTAGTGTGCCATGCTATCCTTTTAAGTGTGCCATGAAATATTGTCACAGCATACATATGTGTGTCTGCGTGTGTGGAAGTAGTAATGGTACAGTGTTAGTATTTAATAAATTAATAAGTATTAAACTTTTAGTTCAAATAATTCTATTCACTACTAGCAGTAGAGCCCGGCGTTACCCGGGGATGTAACAGTAAGAGATAGATCAAGTATTGACCATCATAAAGACTGAAAAATAAAATTGACAAAGATTATTGTTTAAGGTTGACAGACACGCATGTCTTAATTAGTTTTTTTTTGTTTTGTTTTTTTTTACGAATTGGTCAAACCCAAACTCAAACAAAAACATTGTTTTCAATCGTTATTAGTCTAGAATTTTATTATAAACAACTGTCTTGTAAATGGATTTTTAAAGCATTCTGAATGTAAAAATAAAAAAAAAGTGTGCAAGACAATAAGAAAAAGTGAAGTTTTGTTGAAATAGGTTGAAAAATGTAGGAAATCCGATCCCATATATAAAGGAACACACACACACACACAAACAACCTGTGTTTTTATTATAAGTATAACTCGATATGAGTTGTCCTCCTTTCATTCCGCGAAAGCGATGCTTCTTAATTGTGTTTTCAAATTGGTTTTGTGCAAAAACAATTGTGTTTTTCCAATTTTTGGTGCTGTCAGAACCACCGCAAGGTAATTTTACGTAGTCCTGTGAAGTTTTGTTGAAATCGGTTGAAAAATGTGGGAAATCCGCTCCAATATATAAACGTACAAACACACACACACACAATCTGGGTTTTATAATAAGTATGATTTTTCGATTATGTTATTTTAAATACTTTGTTTTAATATTTATTTTTTTTAAAAGTATTTTCATTTTTTAATTTAACTTTTTTAAATTTTTCTTTATTTGAATATTAACCATTTTTTCATATATTCAACATTTTTTTGTTTAATAAATGTTCCTTCTAATATTGGACTTGAGTTATGTGAAGAAGAATTGGCCACCATTTCTAGTGATCCAAGGGCTAAAAAAAAAAAAAAATTTGATGGTACCCATTGATATATTTTGGATTTCAATACAAAAAGAATATCCCACATTAGCTAAAAAGGTTCTATCAGTTTCATTGCAATTTTCTACTTATTTATGTGAATTAGGCTTCTCAACCTTTAAATTAAATAACATCAAAAATAAGAAGCAAGAAGACTACGCTCAACTGAAGAAGAATATCACACATCTGACCAAACACTGAAGAAATTGTGAAACACCAGGCACAGATTTCGCACTAAATAAGCTGCACAAATAGTTAAACATTGAAATAAAGAAAGTTCATATTTGTGTGTTTATTTTTTAAATCTATGATTTTATTTAATACCATAAATATACCCCTTAAAAATTTTGCTCAGTGTGCTGTGATATTTTCATTTGCTTCTAGGTGTGCCGTTGCTTAAAAAAAAGTTGAGAAACATTTAAAAATAAAATCAATGAAAGTGTCTATGTTCTATGGTTTTCCAGAACATCCCATGTATAAAATTATGATAGTGCATATTTACTATTTCTTTTTTATCCCCTATTTATAATAAATAGGGGATAAAAAAAGAAGTTCATCTGGTTCCCTGAAAGGCATATATTTAATTTTAGTGCAAAAAATGTACATCGCAGTGAAGAAAGTATAATTATTGAGGGTTACAACTTCTGAAATTCCCGCGGAGGGACACTGATCATGATGAAGGGTTTAAAAAAAATATTTGAAATGATGCTTCATATCAAAACAAGCGTACTGTTGATTTTTCCAATCGAGAAAATTACATCTCGTCAATTACAGGCGTTACAATTGAAAAAAAAAAAAAAAAAAAAAATTGGGTGGCACCTGAATTTGAATTGGACGATTATGAAGTCTGAAAGTGAAATCTAATCGGAAGTTGGGTATGTAACAGGTAGCAATGAAAATAACATATCCCAGTGGATCAAACAAACGATATTGTCGCTGAATTAAAAAGAATTATCAAGTAACACCTCGTCCAAGAATTTCAGACAAAAATTGCTTGTTTACGTTTTGGCTTTCCTTTCTTTTTCGGATATTGCGGTCAAAAAAAAAAAAAAAAAAAAAAAAAAAATGGAAATTATTTTCATTTTTATTTATTAATTTATTTCAGCTTTTTCCTGTTTAGCTAAAGAATAAAGTAGTCGAATACTCACAATGATGTAACATAAGATTAAAAAAATATGAATATTTTAAACAATATTTTTCGTTTTTGAAAAGGAATCGTTATTGAGTCACACCTTTCTCACCAGTTAGGGTTTTACTTTTCTTACTTTTTTTACAACTCAGCAGAGTTAAGATTTGACCAGAGAAAGAAGAAAATGTAATAAATTACAAAAACAATGATGAACACATTGTCATGTCTATTCTAAGACTATGAGGATGACTGTTTTCTTAATTTCCTTTTTAGTGTTTCTTATTTAGAATGTGTTTTAAAAGACTTTTAACTTTTAAGGATACGTTGTCAATCGTCATTATTTTGATAATAATCATACTCGTGCGTTATGCCATTCAAAGATTCTGATAGGGATTTTTTACCAAGTCTGGTGATTTAATAATAAAAAAAGAATACCTCTAATGATGTAGATGATTTTTTTTTCATAATACTAAAAACAAAAAAAATCATAAACAAATGTTCTAATTAAAAAGAAAAACTGATCTCTATCAAGTATGTATCGTACTATTTTCTTTATGGAAATTGTGATGATTGTCTTGTCAACAAATAATCCATTGAAATTACAACAGATTTTCTGCTTACAATAAACAGATTTGTTTATTTATTATATTTAATTTATTTAAGATGACATCAAAACTACGAAACAGATTTTAGGGACTTTTTTTTCCGAACTGGATTGATTGCAAAAAAATGCAAAATACAGTGTTAGTATTGTTGCTTTCGAAATTTTTTGGGTTTCAAAATCTGTTAGAATTTTAGAAAAGAATTATCTTGAAATCTAATAACCGACTACTTAGAGTAAAATTCCTCGAAAATTTCATTTTTGCAACGATCTGGACGAGATTGTGCAAGATGGTTGATTTGATTCTTAAAAATGACTAAAAATCACTGGTATCTCGCATTTGTGAATACATTATTTAACTACACCATTAATAATATAATAATTTAAATTCATTCGCTGTAAAAAATATTTTCATCAGTTGTGTCACTTGAAGTTTTCAAATGAACTGGCTGAATAATTTTGAATTTATTGTATTACCGTACGTGTTCTGAAGTGATCTCAAAATTCTATGAAAACTTTAAAGTAATATTTAATAATTATATAACAATAAATGCTATTACTAAATTTGAAACCACAACGAAAAATCGCTTCCATAAACTCAAATAGGGATTAAAAATCCGTGAGATAAATTGTGAAATGACAACTCACGATTCCTGGTAAGTTAGCATATTTTGGATCCGCCATCATGAAAACCGCACTTCTCGTATTACATGGCTTTCAGCGAGATTCTCGTTTCTTGATAATGATTCAGGTTTGCGCTAGTCTGCCACAAGATACTAGCCATTGGTGTTTTTCATGAGTTGTAAGATTTTGCGAATTAAATTGCCATTTTTAAAAGATTTTAATTAATAAGTCGATAAAACCATTCTTAGGTACATGCATATTTCTATTTAAAAAGAAAATAATTCTGCAATTTTCTTTAAATTGATTTTCAGTTAATTACATTATATGTCAATGTCATCTTATAGGAAATAAATGGTTTATTTCCTATAAGATGTGGGTATATATTTGTGTTGGAAATAGGATTTATTATAAATCCTATTTCCAATCAAATATATACCCACATACATACCATATTAAAACATACGCAAACTTTATTTTCTACCCAATAACAGACAATGTTACAAACACGCCAAAAAAATTTCAGAATAAAACACACACCATTTACATCAAAGTGTATACTGGTTAGAAATTAAAATCATCATGTGAAATATTTGATCAATCAGGGAAAACTAAAACCCTATTTTTCTCAAGCCTACTTTTGGGAAAAAATTATTTAAAAACCTACAGATTTCAACTTTCAAGGAGTTGATTTGTGACTATCTCCAAGCTGAAGAGAGATGCAACTCTCTCTCTCCACAGTGCATGCTGAAAGAAACATGTTGGTGACTTCAACTGAATCAGCTACAACAGCTTGTATGGTCAGTGAATCTTCAATATAGTATATATTATATGCCAAGCATATTTCACATTTACTGTCTGTAATATTTGTAAATTTTTGCTTTTAAAGATTTATCTCCCTTGTACCGGCAACAATCAGTGTCTGTGTCGCAAAATGGCCAACTTAAAAAGGCTTATGATAACAGAAGGTGAAAAAGCCGACACCATGAAAGCAAAGTACAACAATAATTACAAGAAATATATCTCAATATTCATAATAATAGCAAGTAGTTAACAATATATATTGTGTTTTTTAAGGCTTGGAATTTTTCAGGACAGAGCAGAAGAGATGGTGTCAAATCTCTTATCCTTTCTTTTTTAATTATTTCACTACAAGCAAGGCGGCAATAAAACCACTAGGATTGCAAGGGGTTACTGAGTGTAAGAATATGAGAAAAACTACTATTAAAGAGAGAGAACAATAAAAGAACAAGAATTAAAAAGACAAAAGATAATGATTGACATTGCATTTAAATTTTTGAAGACCAAATTTAACTGGGAAGCAAGAATCCGAAAGAGAGTTCCACAAGTGAGAAGTGTGGTAGAAGAAACTGTTAGCATAGAACTTATGGTTACATCTAGTCATTTCAACTGTAAAATGATGAGACTTTGCTGCCAATCTAGTACTCTGCTTAAATTCATAAAGTGTAGGTACTATAGTGGAAAATTTATCAGAAAAATTATCATGAAAGTATTTATAGAAAAGGCACAGGGAAGCTATGTTATGGTGGTGAGAAATGGGCTGAAGCCAGGACTGAACATCTGGACCAATAATATTGCAGATTCTTCTTTGGATTTTATCAAGAATCTCTAAATATATAGCAAGAGCAGCAGACTGATGTGGCAGCAATATTCAAATCAAAAACGAATAATGGATTTATAAATATGTAAGACAGATTCTGGCGAGAAAAATGTCTAGAATGACATAGTGAACCAACTTTCTTAGCTGCAGACTTAGCAATTTATTCAATATACTCTTTCCACTTCAGCTGAAAATGTTAGTTTGAGAATGTGCAATGAGTCACTCTCCTGGTGATTAGAATCAGCCATGCTGATAGAAGGTAAAAGGGATTTTCTCAAATGATTTAAAAAGAGCAGTTTTGTTTTTAAGCCATTAAAATTAACAAGCCACTCCTTGTTTGATTTAACAATAGATTGTAGGTCATTTTTTATATCAGCTGCCAATTTGACCTTATCAAACCAATCAGACTTACTATTAAGACTAGAGTAAATAGTTGTGTCATCAGCATAGATACTGAATTGAGAACTGATGACATCAGGAAAGTCATTTATAAAAATTAGAAACAATGTAGATCCAGGGAAACACCTGCGTTTATGCAAAAAGATCTAGAAGAGTGGTCATTTAAGATAACTTTCATCTCACGATTTGATAAGAAAAACTGAATCGGTTCAAAAATTTGTCCAGAAATAGCATAACCTTTCAACTTTTAAAGGTGACCAGTATGCCAATTCCTGTCAAATGTTTTTGAGATATCCAAAGCAACAGCCTGAACTTCACCATTCTTATCTAAAGCTTGATAGACTCTCTCAGCAATAATCATTAACACATCAGTAGCTGACCCTGAGAAGTGAAAGCCATATTGCTTATTTGAGAAAAGACCCTGTGATGTAAGATGCTTAACTAATTCAAAGTTAATTAGAGCCTCTAGTACATTGCCAAAAAGAGGTAGAGGGATAATAGGCTGATAGGATGATCTGGTGATTTGCTTGAGTTCTTAAACACTGGAACTACAAAAGAGGATTTCCAACAAGCAGGAAAGCAAGAAGCAGCAAGACATTTATTGTAGAGTTTAGAGAGAACAGGAGCCAGTTCAAGAGCACATTTCTTAAGGACTCTTGCAGGGATACCACCAAGTCCACATGCTTTGTAGGGATCCAGGTTAGAGAAGATATCAGAAGCCATAGAAGGAGTTATATCACTCAACAGAGACTCAGTTCTAAGTGGAAAGTTAGGCAAAGTTACTCCAGATGAATCAATAGTAGAATTTAAAGAGAATTTACAAGTAACATTCAACTTTATTAGCAGAAAATGTTAACATCTCAAACTGAGTGAAGAGAAATAGAAGACTTACAATTATTTAACACACCATTACAGAGCTGCCACTAGTCACATGAACCAAATTTGTTAGAGGCTATACGGTGCCTCATTCTATCAGCAAACATAGACTTAGCCACTTTGAGGACACATTTACAATTATTTTGAGCTGTTACAAATAAGCATCTGTTGTGAAGTGATTCCTTTGGGCCATAGAAGCTGAACAGGTTGATGGGAACCAAGGAGAAGATTATGGTTTCACCTGATATTTGTGGGAATGTACAAAAGCATCAAGAAGAAACCTCTGTGGCTCAATTCTCAATAGGAAGGTTAAGAAAATCAATCCAAATAGCATCTTGAATGAAGTCTTGAAAGGATCCCAATCAGTACACTGGTAACAGAAAGAAGTCTTCTGAAAAGGAGGTTCCTTTTTAATAGACAACTCAAAACAAATATCAATAGATAACACAGTGTGATCTGAATTGGCAAGAGGACAGAGCTGTGATGTTCTACAAGAGCTAGGAGAGAAGGTAAGGAACAAATTGAGTAAAGAAGAATGCTGAACAGATTTATTAGGGAAATTCATTATTTGACTGAACAATGGGAAAATTGAAAGTTTGAATACTGGTAACTATTTAATACCCCCCCAATAACCCCCCCCAAAAAAAAACAATGCTTGAAAGATACATGTTTATTAAATAGCAAAAAAAAAAAAAATTACAATGCAGTATACAAAATTTACAAAACAAGCTTTCATAAAATTTTCCTTTGTGTGCCAAAGACTTAGGCAAGATAACAATTCTAATTACAATTTTGTTGGGTTCATAAAAAAACAACAATTAATATCAACAAAATATTCTCTTACTGCAATACATTTGACTATTGAAAAGAGAAGGAAGGCAACATCGGTGAAAAGGTGTTGCTGGTTTTCTTGTTTGTTTTCTTTTTGGACAATAGTTTAGTTTTACAAACTGAGATTCAAAAATGAGATTAATCTCATTGTTCCAAAATAAGTTTAAAATCAGGGTTAATAACTCAAATTTTTGTGACAAACTTTGACAAATTTGCACAAGTATATAAAAACATTCAAATATCTCGCTAAATTTGTAGAATCTTCCTTTTCTTCTTTCTGATTTTCCCTTTCTTCTTCTTCTTCTTCTTCTTCTTCTTCTTCTTCTTCTTCTCGAAACTGGGAGTGTCTTTCACCTGTGCAAAACTTTTTCTGCTTATTTTTAGTTCAGCTCTGTTCAGCTCCTAGAAACTATTAATGGTTTTCACCTGTGAAAGCCAAAACCCTTTTCTTTATTGCATAAGATATCTCTTTAAACCATGCTTGTTTGCAAATTTTATTTTGGCAGGATTTGAGACCAATACAAATTTTTTGAAAACCAAATTTTATTCATATTTCTTTTTCGTAAACTGTCAAGCTTCATTCTGGCATTTTTTCTAGAACATCAGACCTGAGTCTCACATATATAAAGTTTTACACATTAAATTTGATTTGAGCAATTTTTGCTAACCGTCTGGCTTTTTTTTATAATAACTTTTTAAATACTCCCCTCAAAAGAAAATGCAATAAACAAATCTAGTCTACTGAATTATTTTTTATATTTACCTTATAATTAATTTTTTATATATTTTTCCATTTTTGTTTATTATATAAATTTTTATTAAACTAGTCATTACATAAAATGTAATTGTTTTTTTTAATTGTTATTTATTATTCAGTGTGCTAAAGATTTAGCTGAGTTATATATATATATATATATATATATATATATATATAGTGATCCCCTCTGTTAGTATGGCTAATGTGTACATTAAAAATTACGCACTAAATGAAAATGCATTAATCAAATATAATAACTTATAGGAAATGATGTAATTTGTACCTCAAATTTCAGTCTCATTCACAATTAATTTCTAATTTGTGTACTTTTTAATTAAAATATTGGTACATATGAGAAGATGCAATAAAAATGCTATGAATTAATGTTTATTAATCTGATTTTTTATGTAAAACTTATTTAGAGTGCTTTGCTGCATGATATTCTTCAGATGTGCATATAAATGGTGATACTGAGAAATTGTCCCTTCAATTTTTATGCAGATTTGTTATCTTCTGTCTTCATCCGGGTCTGCTTTAAACATTTTCCTTTAAATTCTTCAATGACCTTGGAAAATTCTTCTA